CTGCATGTGCACACACATGTATTGTGCACACATGTGCGCACGCGGGGGTTGGCTGACATGTGGGATGACTGCTTTGGTGAAGATAAGAACCTGCCCTGTCTGCATCTGCAGCACCTGAGAAGAGGGAAGGGGACAAGGCTTGGAGGGGGCGCACCCGGGGGAGTCCTCGGGGCTGCACTGAGGGGCGCACTTGGGGGCACGATTGGGGGCTGGTGTTCCTTGGCCAGAAACTAAGCAGCAAGTAGGTGAAGATGCACCGCTGCTGGGCTACAGTGAAGTTGCATCAGCCTGATTGGGAGCCTCCACCTGTTTACCTGCCCACCTGCTCACCTGCCCACTGCCCACCTGCTCTCCTGCCCTCCTGCCTACCTGCTTACCAGCCCACCTGTCCACCTGCCCACCTTCCCACTGCCCACCTGCCCTCCTGCCCACCTACCCATCTGTTCGCCTGCTCACCAGCCCACCTGCTCACCTGCCCACTGCCCACTGCCCACCTGCCCATCTGCTCACCTTCTCACCAGCCCACTTGCTCACCTGCCCACCGGCGCATGCCACAAACAAGCTGCCAGGCCAGGTCTCTGAGGGGCTTCTGCATCCAGGGCCCAGGAAGAGGTGCTGACAGGGACGCTGTACAAGACCCTGGGAGGCCAGAGGGTCATCGACGTGGGTTGAGCCCCCCATTTCCAGGTGAGCAGAGGCGGGACCCGCCGATGGGGTGCAGGAGCAGTCCAGCAAGACGAGTGCTGCAGAGGCCACAGGCTGAGAGGTCAAGGTCATCCACTGGTGTGGCCAGTGGTGTAGCCTCTGGTGTGGCCTCTCTGACCTGGTTGCTTGGTTCCCCCCATCCATCTGTGGTGCAGGGGCTTCTCCCCCAAACCATTAAGACTCCAGCTCCACGATGGCCTGGGGGGCTCTGAGGCACAGCGCGCTGTTGGCGCGTGGCCGGTGGTCACGAGGGCAGTGTGGTGGGGACCTAGGGACAGAGCAGACCTGCCGCTGGGCCCTCGCCCGCCAAAGGAGCTTGGGTGCACGTTCTCAGCCATCAGCAGAGGAGGCTCCATCTACTTGTCTCCAATTGGGCCGCCCCCAGACAAGGAGGAGGGCAGGAGGGTGGGAGGCGACCAAGGAGTGTGGGCAGCTGGGGGCCTGCCCTGCTGGTGGCCACCATACCCAGGGCCTGGTGCTCTGAGCAGCAGCGGCGACTTCCTGCAGGGAAGGCACCAGGCACTGGGTGTGGCCAGGGGGCATAGTGGGGCACAGCGGGTTGGGGGCCTCCCGCTTCACCCCAGGGGTGCCAGCTGATGGTTCTGGGGACCAGCTCCGAGACCACATGGGAAAGCTCAGCACACCCCAGGGCGGGGGTGGGGGTGGCCCTGATGCCCGGCACACCACCCCCCAGGCCCCGCTCGCCTCCTCTAGCCCTGCCCCCACCCCCCGCCCCGGCCTCTCAGGTGCCAGGCTCCTGACCCCCACAGTGAGCCCGCGGGACCCCTGTGCCCTGGGCCCTCTAGCTCAGCCTCGCCGAGACAAAGGACCACCGGGTGGGGCCTCTCGAGAAGTGGCAGCCAGCGGCCAGCTACACTCTACCCCGGGTCCACTGCCTCTCACACGCAATTCCCACCGAAGCACGGAGACCTGGGCTGAGCAGCCCGGGGACCTCAGTAACAGCCTGTTGCTCGGGCCCTGCTGTGGCACTCAGGCCCTGGTGTGAATCCTGCTTTGTGGTAGACCACACGCCGCCCCGAGGCAGGATGGACCCTTTACTCACCCCCGGTGAGCAACTCTACAACTCACCTCTCGGCACGTAGCCACGTCCTGTCTGGCCGTGTGCGGCTGCCAGTGCAAACCCCCAGGAACCTCGCAGAGCCTGAAGGTGCGCGTGAGCCCCGACTTCCTGCAGACGGGCTCGGCCTTGGGACGCGAATCTGCCAAGTCGGCGCTGGCGCGCTGAACCTGCTTCTCGCTAGCCCTGGGGTCCCAGTTTCCTTGGGGCCACGTACCACCACCACAAGGGGGTTGCAAGTGGCCATTCTCTGTTCAGGCCCAGCCCCTTACTGGCCGCCCAGCCTCTCCCATCCTGGAAGGACGCCCCTTTGCCCTGTGTCCTTGGAGACCGTGGATTCTAGAGAGCGACGGGCGCGCTGGCAGCCACAGCCACAGCCCACCCCAAAGGCGCTCCCAGCAGAAACCACAGACCCAGCTAGCAGAGGGGAGCTTGCCTGCCCCCCACTCCACCCCCCCCCCCAAGCCCAGGAAGCCCAGCAGAGCTTCAAACCCAGGGCAGGAGAGGGGCTGCCCACGTGGAGGGGCTGGGCCCTGCGTGCTCACCTCCGCAGTACACCGCGGGGTCGCGGGCTCCCGACGGCCGCACCATGCCCGCCAACGGCCCGCTCTCACAGCGGCCTCCTCCTCCGCTGCTGCTGCTGCTCCTGCTGTGCCTGGCCCAGGCCCATAGGGAGTGGCAGGCAGTGCCCGCCCCCGAGTCGCCCGGAGACCAGGCATCCCACCCCTGCCCACGGGGCACCTGCATCCGCGGCTCAGGTGCACCCAGGTGCGCACCTGCCTTGCCCAGCTAGTCACCGCCCTGTACCTACTCCCAGCCTGCCCCCATGCCGCCCCAGGTCCCCAAGCTCCATCCTACCCCCTGGTGCCTCCCCCAGGCCGCCTGGGACCTGGTGCCTGCTCCCTGGGGGGCAGAGTGGGGTGGGAGCTCTCCCATTGGTGCAAGCGCCCTGGGCCTGCTCTCCACGGCACCCCAACCTGCAGGCAGCCCGTCCAACTGCGCTCTGAGAAGCCCTGGGAGGGGTCACCCCTCGCCCCCTTTCCAGGCTCCTGTGGGGAGGGGACACTTGTCTCCTTCCTGCCCCGCTGCCCACCCCATTACATTGTTCCCTGCGCCCCTCCATTAGCCCTCGTGTCCAGGGCACCCCCATAGGCTGTGGACCCAGCAAAGTATGAGGAATTAAGCATCATGTTATGTTTGAATCTGTCTCTGTCCCGCAGAACCAGCAGGGCCTCCCCCTCCTCACCAGGCCTCGTGGAAACCCCACATGGAAGCAGCGCTGTTCCCAGGCCCCCCCCCCCCAGCGAAACCCGAGCCTGGACCCAGTCTGCAGGACCTGGAGGAGCAAGCGGGCTTCCAGAGAGGAGTGAGTCTCCTGGAGGTGACCTGGGGAGACCGGCGAGGCCCAGCGCCGGGTCTGACTCCCATGCGCTCGGGCCCAGCAGCGGGGACCCTGGGCAGCGTTCTCGGGGCACCCTCACCCAGCACTGCAGTAAAACCAAAAGCGATTTTATTTGTTTCCAAGTGTTTTAATCAGATTTTGAAGATGCTTTGCTGCCTGAAGATGAAAGCAATGCTTGTCGGAGTAATTTCTCATAGTTCTGTCTTTTGTGCAACCAGATCAATAACCCAGCCGGGGGCCTGGGAGCACGCCGCACTCGGCATCTCTGGGAGCTTCAAAAAGCCGGGGAGATGCAAAAGCGTCCTCAGATTATTCAGACACGTTTGGCAGAACACAGAGAAATAGGCCCATCTTCGTCACCTTCACATCTGCTGCTGCGATCAGAGGGGCCCCAGCTTCCTTCGGGGCAGTGTCAACCAGTGCTCCTCCCCATGTGGGGGTTCCTTCCACTGCAAGATGCCCAGACGCTTGGAGCAAGACGCTCCAAGCACCCCTGCCTCGTCGTCCCCGCCCCCTGCCCGCAGGAACACTCCTCCTGTGCAGTCCCCCTCCGGGCTACCTGTGTCACCTTCACCTCCCAGCCCCACCCCATCAGATGCACCCCGACTGTCCTAGAGATGGGTTTTCAGTGTGGCCCTCAGCACCCGGCAGTTGGGGGTTGTCTATGCCCAACAGTCTGGGTCTTAGGGTCCCCTGCAGCTTCACTGAAGGCTGGGTCTGAGATGGGCAGCCAAGCGCCGCAGGCGGGACCTGGCCCCCGGGCTGGCATGGACTCATGCCCCAGAGCTCACCCGTCTGTTTCAGCACGCCAGTGGGCGGGGCGCCTAGTGAGACAGCAGCCGTGGACGAAATGAACCATTAGGCTGAGGACTGAGGTGTCCGCACAGGCATGGCTTCCGGAATTGCAAATGATGAGCTGGGGCGCGACTGTGCTGTGCTGAGCATATTGCTCTGTTCTCATGGCCTAAATGGGTTTGTTCTGCTCCCTAGATCAGCCTAATGCTCTCCCAGCAGGAAATTTATTGCAAAAAATAAATCATTGTGACTGGAGAGGAAAAGGAAAATGTGCAGCTTTTACCCAAAACTAAATAAATGGAGAAGCCGCTGTCCTGGCCGATGGTGCCTTGTGGGTGCCCCCACCAGCTCTGCGGGTTCACACTGAGCCCCCATGGAAAGAACAGGGGTGAAATGCGCGGGAGACTACGAAAGACAAGGTAGGGTTAATGGGACTTTGCATTTCAAACTAGTCTTAAGATGCAGGTGTTGCCACCTCGAAAAAAAAGAACAAGATTATGAAAAATGTGTCAACTCAGTTATGATAAATAGATGAAAAGAGCAGGTATTTAGAAGTAGTATATGTGTGTAAAGTAGGTTTTTCCAAACTGGGAAAAAATTCCTTTGTAATACAATCAATTGAGTTTTTTAAAACAAGCTACTTTATGAAGGTGGAGTTTTGGGAATCCTGTTTTCCTAAAGTGGACTCTCCTACATAGTGTGATTTGGTGGGGCCGCCCCGCCAGCCTGCTCCCCTTTGAGGTGACAGAAGAATGGGACATCTTCCTTCTGAACCTAGTCTTTCTGAGTTCAATATCCCACTCTACAGATTAAAGGGCTACACTAGCGTCACTTTTCAAAGACCCTTTATGTAACACAGCAACCTCTTCTTCTTTACCACCACCACCATCACCACCATCACCACCATCACCACCATCACCATCACCATCACCACCACTACCATCACCACCATCACCACCATCACCATCACCACCACCACCATCATCATCACCACCATCACCATCACCATCAACACCACCA